GATGAATGATGGTTATATTATATTTTTCCTGACTGGACTGACAGCATTAAGACTCTGATATTGTTGAAATTTATTTTCTGTGTTTTTATTCTTTATTATATTGTTAATAAATTGGTTAAGTTCAAAATCTTTTATTGTCTTCTATGTCTGCACAACATATCTCAGGGAGCTTTTATTGCTACTACTGCTAAATGTTTAATTTCTTTAAACTTTAAACTTTGCTTTAGCATCACTTATACTGTCCATTATACATTAAACGCGCATGCGTAAATGTATTATGCACATGTGTAAATGCTTATGCGCATGCGTAAACGCATATGCGCATACGTAAAGGTATTATGTGCATGAGCAGAAAGTTTGTAGCTTTGAGGTCCGGATTATGGATGTCCGAATTAGAGACTTTTGACTGCTGTTGTGATTAAAGAAAATAGTATATTTTTTCTCCAGATAAGCACAGAATCTGCTCCTTGTATTTCTGCATTAGTTGTTATCCATGATGGTCTGCAAGCAAAAGCATATTTTAGAGGTATTCCATTAACAAAAGTTAGTAACCATGAATTTCCTTTAAAAATTAATAATGTGCATAACTGTTCAATGCTTAAAGAAGTTGCAAAAATTAAAGGTGATAATAATGAAAACAGCTTTAAAAATTTATTATTTGTAACTCAAGGCCTTCCTCGTGAATTAGAAAAAAATGCCTCTGAACATAAAAAGAAAGTAGTTCAGTTAATAGCAGCTGTCATTACTCCTTTTTGCATAAAAATAATAATAGGTATAGTTCTGAATATAATGTTGATCCTAAAGTGAAGCAAATTCTTGAAAATTTCCTGAATTATGCTAAGAAAAAAATCCACTTTTTAGACGAAAACTATAAATATGTCACTTTAATGGTTGACGAAATTCACATCAAGCCATTCTTAGATTTCAAAGGTGAAAATATAATAGGAATGGCATATAATTGTAAAAACGCTGCCAATTCTGCTTGTGTTTTTATGCTGCAGAGTATTAGATCTTCATATAAAGATGCTATAAGTATTGTCCCAGTAAAATCATCATCAGTGCAATTTTTGTGTGGATATATTAGGAAAATAATAAAAGGTTTAAAAAATTTAGGTTTTCGTGTAATATGTGTGCTTATAAATCTACCCTGCTAAAATTTAAAAGCTTCTAATATCCTTAAAAATGTTTCCACACATCCTTCTTATATATTTTTTATGCAGTTAAGTGACTTGAATATTATTAGTATGGAGGGAGATTCCAACATTTCCTTACTGTTACTTATCAAAAGTCAACCAGTACTTTAAAGCATTATTTTAACTGTAATTATACAATATAAGACAATACAAAAAATTAATAATATATATATATTTTGTACAAAGTAAAATGTTTCCGATATTATATCCACGAATGAATTGAAAATATATATTTTCATCTCTCTCTCTGTATATATATATATATATTTATATTTATAATTTATCTCCTAATATATTTGGCGTGCGTATTAAAATTTATCTTCTAATATATTTAATTTTACATATACAAATATAGAGTAAAAAGAAAAATAATATGTATCTACATCATTAGAAAATACCCTCCTGTTACTAAAGCTTTAAAAACATATATACTTTAAAGGCAGGTAGTAGGTGACCAACGACGATTGTCAGCTGTCAGTTTGTGACATCACGATCTTGTAGTTGGGTCTTTGTTTAAGAAGGTGTTGCCTGTACCCTTACATACGCATCGGCATCACGTATTTTCGTTCACGTAGATTTACAAGATCAGATCAACTTAGGTCAAAAACTGAAAAATGCATTAATTAATAAAAATCAAAGCGATATAAATAGTATATAGATCTTGTGCATGAACTACAGCTTTTGAAAACTTTTGGAGGAAATGTAGCACCGCTGGCTAAAACTCTAAGCTATATTGTTGTCAACAGCATAGCGGTGTGATAAAAGAGTATTTTGGATATATCCCTCGATAACAACCCTACAGCATTTTTTGTGCCTTTTGTAATCACAGTTTGAACCTTGTCGTAAACAATGCTGCGAACAACAGTTTATTCAGTGCAAACTTATTAGATGTCTAAATTAGTTTGTTTTTAATTTTAAGATAATAAATAATGTTTAGCAATATATATTTGGTATCCAAGATGTTTAGTATATTGTTTCATTTCGCTTGCTCACTTGTCTGACCTACAGAGCCCAAGGCCATGAAATTCCTCATGTCAAGGAGCACAAGATATGCCTGTTGTTGGCAACAGTCTTGAGCACCTTACAGGTGACAGTGCGATTTAGCTCAATTTCACACCCAATTTTGAAGGAGAGCATCCTGGGGAAGGATGGGTCCGAACATCTCCCACCCCTCTTTCCCTACCACTAGCCTTTCGAGAGGACTTTTGCCTCGCATATTAGAGTGCCCCCATGCCACATGGACACTATACATTTACAAACACCCGTGCCTTCTCCGAGATTCGAACCCGGGTCCTTAAGCACCGCAGTTAGCACTATACCACTATACCGGTTGGGAGGCTTTTTATAACATAAATGTATGCATAATTCTTTTATAAATATGTTTGAGTGCGAGTTTTAACAAAGCACAAAATGTTTACATAATTAGACAAATTAAAAGATAAAATGTAATTCTTTTGTTTTTTCATATTATTATGTTAATAATACTTCATTTTAAATGTTAACGCAAAGGCGTCACTGCATAAAGGCGCTCACTAGACATTTGCATGATGGCACTGATTAGGTTTGTTGCGGGCCTGCCTAAGATTGCTAATTTTCATTACTGAATACATTGCATGTCTAAAATGAATGAATATGGATACCACAAAACACGTTTTCGCGGCTTATGCTGCTGTACATTGCAACCATTCTTGTGGGAAATTTTCTCATATCATGAATGTCAGCCAGCTCTTCTGTACTGAAAGGGTTAATATAAGTTGCTTGTAAGACATTTATCATGTTTCCATATTCATTAGTACAAATAAAGCTAATTTCTTAAAATAATCTATTGTAAAATACAGTCTACTCAACACAGAGAACTTGCATGAACCTTATGAAAAATTATTTATCATTTTTTAATTTAATTAAATTTTAATAAAATATATTGTGTTATTAAATCTTTGATGTTAGATAAACTTTTTATTGAAAATGAGTGTGTGTTAAAAAATATCCAGACACTTGAATATGTTAATATTTCTGCAGCAAATAAATTAATGTGGTATAGGTCCTCTTTTGATATGGTGAGTTGTCATTCTATCAGGAAAATAACCATTAATTTGTGAAATTTTGGAATTGAATGCCATTCTTACTGAAGAGATAAAATTGAGTCAGAGCTCTGGGTAAGTTAAACAACATGTTATCTATGGCTGGACGCATGATTGTTTCAGATTGGAAGGGGCCTACATCAAACTTCCCTCAGTGTGGGCAGTGCAGAATTATCTAAAATATTAAAATAGTTTCCTTCATGGGAACCAGGAAGCCTGCAAATCATAAGAAATAGCCTCAAATCATTATGCTTCTACAACCAAACTTCATTGTTAGTGCTATACAGTTATATTACTGTATAGCTAGTGCTATACAGTTATATTACTGTATAGCACTAACAATGAATTACATTACAATGAATAACAATGAATTACACTAACAATACAATTATTAGTATCATTCACTTGACATATTTTTTGTATTATAAACCCATCAGACTGCCAGCTAATGTAGTGAAATGCACTGCTTTATGCAGAAAGTTGGCAGCTTTAATGCTGTTAAATCATTTTAAGCAACTTTTGACATTGGTTGTAATAACGTTCAGTTTCTATGCATCTACTCAACTTTCAGTTCAGAGACGTCAGTGAACTGTTATTGCTCCAATGTTACATCTGGAATTCAATGCTAAGATTTTCCATCAGTGCAGTGTGGTTGTCTTTTACATACCTCTTCAGCACTTTACAGTATGTGCCATGAATTACAATGGACCGTGTAATAAAACTGCAGAAATAGCATAAATAGATTTTCTACAAGTGCAGCATCCAGTTATTTCACTGCATTCAAAATAGTTTTCTGATCTTCCATTTTATTTATTTGGTTAAACTAATCATTGTAAATTGTCTGTCACTTTTTTTATCTGTCTGAGCTCATTCTCTGACATCAGTTATAGAATCCATCATTCTGAGGGTGTTACTGAAGAAATTTCTAATATTCCAAATTTAATTTTAAAGAAATTATGAGAGCAAGAAATAGAAAATTGAAATATTTTAAAATAGATATGCATGATAGGTGCAGTTTTATTTATTAACATATAAACTGTTGTACTGGAAGTTGATGATATACACTTTGTCTTCAAACACCCAATGATCACGTGCATTTGGATTCTTTTCTTACAATCAGAATCCTACCTTCCTCTTATTGCCAGTTCTGAAAACATTTCCAAATAAATTGTGGGGAATAGGGTAGCAGTTTTTTGTGAAGGTAATGGTAAACAATTGCTTGCAAGAGGTTATATTCTAGGAGCATGCAGATAATTTTTATCATATAGAGTACAAGAAAGTTAATACTTGTCATCAACAAAAGTAATGTGTATGGATAAGCTTGTCATTGGAGCAATGCTGCTAGTGACAGTTTTAGTTAGAAATTATGGAATGGAATTAATATTAGTTTCAATAAAACTGATTAAAGTGAAAAAATTTGTTCTACATAAATTTAATTTGGAATAAATCTGATTATCATTTAAGATTTTCTTAAAATATTTTAAGAAAGAAAGAAAAAAAAAAAAAAAAAAAAAAAAAAAAAGAAAAGAAAAGGAAGGGGGGAAACGTGTTTTGCAAAAATAAAATTATTTTCACTAAACCAAGTAGAATATGATAATTTTTTATATTTGAGGCAATTGACTGTTGCTATTTTGAATAAAATGCATATTAAGTTTTACTATGATCATTTTATGCAATTCTAGTTTTAAAATGAACAGTGTGAAATAGTTTTCACCCCTTTTTCTAGGATGGAAAATTCTGCCCTTTAGAAGATCTTCTCATTGATGAAAATTATCCAGATATTCACAACTTAACTAAATGCTGTGACTCTGAGGAACTCTTGAATATTTTTGATTCAAAAAGTGACTCTTTTTTTTTTTTTTTACTTTACTTTTCTGTAAATGTTTTATTCTTTCCATTAGTATAACTTCAAAAAAGATTGTCCAGTTTTATGTACTTTTCAGTTGTTCTAAATTTGTTAAATCAAAATGCCTGCTCATCTAAAAAATCCTATAAGTTAGGAAAGTTAACAAAATAAAAAGTGGTTAGAAAAAGGTGAATGAAAGTGTAAATATTTTCTGGCACTTTACCATTAATGCAAACTCTCTTTGAAAGCCATACTCTCTGTGCCATATTTGCTCATTTTTTTTCTTTCCCCCCCCATACCTTTGGCTTGATAATGTTTTCCCCTTCTTTTTTTTTTTAAGTTTTCTTTCCTTTTATAAAACTTCTTTTGGCAATTTTTTTTCTTGATTTCTGTTTATTTTATTCCTCAAATACTTTTTGAAGAAACATGAAATGAAAAAAAATGCAGAAATTATTTGTTACTTATTGCTACATAAGTAAAAAATAAAATATGCTTATAAAAGTAATATAAAAAGTAACAGTAATTAATAAACATTTCATTAAAAATAATCATTTAGGATAAATGTCAGGCATTTATTAAAAAGTAATTACTAGCATTTAAAAATTGCATTTATTATAACAGAAAATATTTCTGCTTTGTAATGTATGCAACATCACATGAATTGCATTGAATAAGACTCTAAATCTTGGCAAATAGTGTCTCTTTGTATTTTATTGTGCCATTTTTTTATACTTCATAACCACTAAAGAGATTGGGTATGACATTTTGTGTGCAGATGAATGAAATTAAAAGAATTATTTACTGTGCAATGTTCCAAATCCCATTTTAACATGTTAATAGCTCCATTTCCTGATGCTTGGTGCTGAGGAAATGCACCAAAACAAAGAACTGTTTTTAAAATGTTGGAGATGCTTAAAAAAAATGATAGTAAAAAAGAAGTGTAGATCAGTCTTTACAAATAATGGAAAGTTCATATCTAAAATAGTAACATCTAAATGAAAACCGACAGTCTTTAAAAGAAAGCAAATGAAGTGTTATTTTTATCTTTTTACTGCACAAAATATTTTATTCAATTAGCATCTTAAACAATACCACTAACCCATAGCTTTTCTCTATGCTTGTTAGCTGTTGTTCTTTCTTCTCTTTTGAAGTGTAACTGTTCTGTTACTCCTCTTTAAAAATCTAGTTGCACTTGAAAAACGAATAATACAGTTTAGAAGTTGGTATACAGTTACTTGTTATAATAATTAATTATATTAATTTAAATTTTTTTTCAGTTCAGTGTGATTCTATACCTCCACTTTTATTCTGAAATACTAAGAGTAACATTTCTTAAGAATAAAGTAATGTCATTAAATTTTTTTCAAAAGGAAGAAAAGGAACAATTTTTTCTAAATTTTATTTAGACTTTTCTAGATAAAGTTTATATTTCTAGATAAAGTCTGTGTAGACTTTATTTATTTTTAGATATTCTTTTTTTTTTTTTTTTAAATGGTTTAGTTGCAAGTCTTCTGGTTATATTTCAGTACTTCTTTTTTCCTGTGGCCTTAACGGAAAAGGGAATTTACTACCCTTTGCAAGCATGAAACAGTTATCAATACTTGCATGCAATTCATTTGATATCTGCACTACATAGTTTCTTTAATATATTTATATACACAGAACTAATTGAACATGAATTTGTATTAATTATTTTATTTAATGCACTTTTATAAGCAATTTATTTGAAATAAACAATGTATGTAAACATGACCCGGAATTCATTTTTAATAGATGCTTTCTGCTGGCTGTAGTTCAGCATTTGTTACTAATACTCCATTAAATACATTACCGCGATTCATGACTAAACATAAACTCTCCTAGTAGGATGTCAGGTGAAGGCAAACTACACTGGTGTGCAAAAATTAAGGACGAGACGGTTTTTTCAATATAACTTTGTACAAAAGCTTTCCAAATCAACACATTTGATACTGTAAGATCCCCAATACGTAAGGACATGAGTAATGTAAGCAACACTTACTAAAAGAGAAATCAGAGGGATAAAAAGAAGCTTTATTGAAAAAGTAGCATGGAGCGCAATGCGACTGAAGGCCGAAACATCCCTGTGATGGGTGTCCAGCAAGAAACATCCGGTCTTTAATAGGGGATATGATCTCCTGTCACTGCTAGGCAGGTTTCACAGCGTCTGCCCATGCTGAGAATGAGGGTGTCAATGAGTTGTGGAGGCAATGCTGCCCATTCGTCTTGCAGCGCCAATCGAAGCTCCGGAAGCGCTACTGGTGGTAAGGTACGAGCTGCCAAGCGTCTGCCTAGAAAATCTCATACATGCTCGATGGGATTGAGATCCGGAGATTGTGCCAGCCAATCCATACGTTCAATATCCTCACTCTCTAAGAGCTGTTCGGCAGCTACTGTGCGCTGACATGGTGCATTATCGTCCATGAAAAGGAACTGCGGACCCATAGTGCCTCTAAAAAGACGCACATATGGAAGAAGAATCTCATTACAATAACGGGTCCCGTTGACTGAACCTGCATCGAAGATGTGAAGGTCTGTACGACTACCAAGCATGATGCCTCCCCAAACGAGAACACCGCCACCTCCATACCTGTCCCTTTCAATGATGTTCGAGGGATGATTGCGGCTTCCCCGCTCTCTCCAGATGAGTATGCGATGAGAATCGCTACTCAGACTGAATCTGCTCTCATCTGTAAAGAGTACTCGTCCCCATTCATTGTCTCTCCAATTCCGGTGTTCCCGGCACCACAGGGAACGCCTTCTCCGATGGGCAGGCGTTAGAAGTACACACTGTACAGGGCGTCGTGCAAGCAGACTACCACTGTGCAGTCTTCTGGCCACGGTAAAACGCGATATCAGTCGTCCAGTCGCCTGTGTCGTATGTCTAGCGATTTCTCCCGCTGTCTGCCGCCTGTTTCTTCTGGCCTGTAAGGCAATATACCGGTCATCTGTGGGTGTGTTTCCTCGTGGACGACCACTACTAAACCCCCGGATAGCTGTTCCTATAGTTTGAAATTGTCTCCAAAGTCGTGAAACAATGCTGTGAGCAATTCCGAACTTTGCAGCCACACTTGTCACACTGTGGCCTTTCTCCAACTTCCCAATGATTCGACCTCGGGTAAAAGCATCCAGATGTCGTCTAACAGATTGATTATTCGCCATTTCTCGCTGAGGCAGCAACTCGGTGTGATTTTAACTGCTATATGGCGTGCAATCTCTTTGCCAGAAATACTGATCTTACACCGACAACATGCTTTATACTACTCAGACACTCCCCCATTACGTCTACCTGCATATCTGCGCATGTGCTACCGTACATCACCTTACTTAATCTCCTGATTGGTCTTTCTGTCCGCTCTGCCTCTTCGTTCAGCTGATATGCTAATTTTTCGACTTCGTCCTTAATTTTTGCACACCAGTGTTATATCCTTGTGCATTTTCAGGGTTCGTAGCTGTCCTTACAAGTGCTTATAAGTCCTTAATTTGAAAATAAAATATAAAGGCCCTTATAGGTGCTTACTTTTTCTTTAAAGCCCTTATTTTTTTTGTTTTTAGTGCTTATTTTTTTCTTTTAGTGCTTTTTTTTAAATCCTTTGTTTTTAATGAAGCACATTTTTCCCCGTATCAAAGCCGAAACTAAATAAACAACTTTTCTTCCTTATATGCAATGTCAGATTGTGAATCATACTCCTGAAAATTGTTTTCCCCCCTTCCTCTGCATTAACGTAACCTATGGTACGTGCGAGAGTACAGACTGGTGCACGTCGTTCTATTGGCCAAAGAATTGCGAAAACGTAGAAAATTCCAGTACATTCGGTATTCTTTTCCTCCCACCCAAATACTACACACGTTTGAATTTCTATCAAGATTTTAAGAAATTTGCATTCTCGTTCCGCGTGGTCAGTTCATATTCGTGTTTATTATGATCGTTATGCTTATATTATGAGCATATGTATGAATATTTATAATAATATAATTGCAGTAACTGCTGAAGTATAGATAAACTTCCAAAAATGGGTGTGTTTTTACACAGATTAGCTTTCTAAGGAATAATATTCGGAATGGCTTAAATAAAAGGAAAGTAATCGAATAGTCAAAATAATTTCATTTTCTTTGCCAATAATACATTATACAGTACGGAGGTTGGGAGTTTCTCCGCAAAATCTCTAATATTGAATCAGCAGACTTTTTTTTTTGTCACTGTCCAATCTGGATTGAATAGGACTAAAAGTTTTTGCGGTCTACCCAACCCAAGCAAAGATTGATTCTATTTCAGAAATTTAATACAGTCTGTTGAAAATTAGAATCAGAAACACCCCAGATTAGTAAGTCTCTTTCTTTTCCTTTATTTAGTTCTTTCTCCGAATACCGGCAGGTGTTGATTCCGATTGCGTAATATCACATATGGAAGAATTACGCCGCACGTATTGCGCAATAACGTTTGCGGTATTTTGCATTGGTAATTAATTTTGATGTTCAGTCTGAGATTTGTTTATGAACACTTAAAAGAGTTTTACTGTGCTTTCTAAGCAGAATATTTCTCAGTTCCGTTGGTTTTTATATGATGCACATATCGAAATGTCAAAATCATTTATTTAACCTAAATTTAAATTTAAAGAACGGCTACAATCTCCCCCACTCCTCTTTTTCCAGTTACTATCCGGAAAATTCGGGAATTTCCGAGTATGCTGGTTAGTTAAGTTAAAGGATGACTGAATGAAGCAATTTCCCATCTTCTGATTTCAGAAATGTGCCTCTTTTTTACTTAAATTACTTTGCTTGGGATATATGTTAAGAAAAAACTGTTATGCAATGAAAATTTAGAAAATGTTCAGAATTTTGATTTAAGTTAAATTATTTAAATATTAATATGAGTGGAAAAATAAATTGTATGTATTATTAGGTGCCAAACAATACAATTAATATGGCTTATTATTATTTATTTTCTATATTTTCAACTGAAATATCATCATTAAA